TGACTCTTCAGAGGAACAAATTATTTTAAAATATACATTTAACACTAAAGTGGGCCTAGAAATTTGCAGGAAATTACAAAAATTGGCCCTAGACTGTGACCATAATCTGTAAGACTTGCTAAAAATGGTCACATTAGCCTTTTATAATTAAACCAGGAAAAAAGACTGGAGAAAGACAGTGGTTCTGACTCAAGCAAGCACTGCCTAGGAGGCAAGTTACCAGCCCTTGTCCAGAATGCAGAGGTGACTACTAGAGATCAACCTGTCTCCAGAGGGAAAGCCCTCAGGGAAAGAGAATTGTTTCATCCTCTGAGCTTGACTGAAGACTTTCAGCAGAACATTTTATGGCTCTGTACCATATCATCTCTGCCCAAGAGCCATGGGTGTGCCTTACTGTGGAGGGCCAGGTGATAAGATTTTTCCTAAATACCAGAGTCACCTTTTCTACATGTGTCTCAAATCCTGGACTTTCATCTCTCAAGCCCATAACAATCAAGGGTGTATCTGAATGACTAGTTACCAAATTTTTCTCTTAACTCTTATAATTGAGAAAACTGGCTATTTTATCATGCCTCTCTAATCATGCCTAAAAGTCCTACTCCAGCTTAGAAAACTATATACTGACTAAAGCAGGAAAAAAAAATTACTATGAACACGAGATAGCATCCTATGTTATGTCTTTCCTTATTAAAGACAGACATTAATCCTAAAGTATAGGCTACTACTGAAGGACAGGTGAAAAGAATGAGTAAACCTTCAACCCATTTATATCAAATTCAAATATCTTACTTTTTATCTCTCCCACCACAGTTAAAACTGATTGAACTTAAGATCTGGACTCATCACACCCAAGTCATGCCCTACCCACTGACAAAAGCAACAGAACCTGATACATCAGTACTCCATATCTGGACAATGAAACTAGTTGGTGACATAAGATCTAGATAAAGAAATGGTTGTAAGATGCACCCTCCTTCTCTTCATTCTCTTTTCTTTTTCAATTCTGGGAATTGTGGGAAAAGGACAAGATAAAATGCCGTATCAATGAGACGAGAATGTTTGGAATTACCCGGTTAAAAACGTCATGAATATGTCTGTTATCTAGTAGGGGAACTTATGTAGATCAGATATTTACATATTTTTCAATAGAGGCTTGTACTCCATTAAAACTGATCAGGAACTTCACTGTGTTATAGCACATCTAAAAGAGTATTGACTATCAGGATTTGTATGGATAGAGACCAGGGAGACAAACCAAGGAAAAGATATGTTTCCCATCTGCCTTAAAACATTTATGCCAGGAGAAGATTGTGTAAAATTCTCAGGATGTCCCACCTCCTGTGTGCATTTAAATAATAGCTTCTCCAATGTTTTAAGACAACTACCATATCTTATGCCAGTGTACACCCTCAGTTTCCTAAGGGGTGATTTTTGCTGTGTGGATACCAGACTTTTTCTTATGCTTTGGCTAATGCCACTGGGGGCCCCTCCATCCTAGGGAAATTAACTCTTTTTTGCCAGGAATAGGACCTGAAAGACACCAGAAATTGAGAAACCTGAGATCTTAATCTTCCATATTTCTGGAGGGATGTTTACCTGTTCATCCCAGCTGAATATATGTCCTTGTCCTTATTAATAATGCCAGACATGGTAATTAAACTAAATGGTGAGATTAGTGAACTATCTTGCTCTATAGTAAAAGCTTTGAATGCTACCTCACAAGCTATTAGCACCCTAAGTGTAGAACTTGGACAAAATAAGGAAGCAGTCCTGGAGAACAGACCAGCCATTGATTACTCTTATGACATAATCATGGGTATACAAAATTTAAAGATATGTTCTGCCTCAACCTATCAAACAACTCCCAATTAATAGAACACAATTTAAAATAAGTACAAAATGTACTTTACAATTTCACCCAAATAGAAGGCTTTTATGGTTTAGATTTTAATCAATTGTTTTCTTTATTACCTAATTTAAATTGGTTAATAGCATTAGTTATTGTTGTGGGAATTATTCTAGTTTTAACATTATTTGTATGTTGTTGTATCCAATGTACCCCATGTTTTATATCTTTACTGCATAATTACAACACTGTAATTATTGGACCACTAGGGATCATAAGATTGACTCACATATTAATTATTTCTAATTAAAACCACAATCAATCTAGAATCTCATTTATTGTGGACCCTAGGATTGGCCTCCTTCATGAGACCCCTGAATATTTCCCTTTTATCTTTGCCCCAATCCAACAGGAAGCAGTCGAGATCAGTTTTCACCCTTTTTTTCTCTAACAGTAGTTAGGGCTTCCACTTGGAGGGAGCATTGATTCAGGTCCACTTTCCCTAGGGCTGGACATGAACTCTATAATTTCTAGCCCTAAGGAGGCTAATAAATTAGTTTGATCAATGTTTCATCTAAGTTGCCACTCCCCAGGAGAAGCAGAAATCCCCCCCAAATACCCCATTACTATACAATGGAGGTTTTTAAATTAACTTCTGCTAGCATACATCTGGCACCAATGGGTATGACAAAGTTTAAACATACATATCACTTTCCCAAACTCCCCTGCCTGCAGAAAAAAAATAAACCACATATAAATCCCAAGACAAACATCAAAAATTGGCATCCAACTCAGGACCCCCTCTGCTGTGCTGGAGGCTTTCCTTCTAATTTTATGTATAATATCTATTAAAAAAAAATCTGTCCTGTCACTTAATAATAGTAATCTGTGAATTCATCAATTTCCTGAGATGAAGGACAAGAAAGAGAAATTTCAGTAACAGAATCTCTTTGTATTTTCTGTAAAAATAAAACTTCTCAAGAAAATAAAGTTTATTAATTTTAATCAAATAAAAATGTGACTGAGGTTTGTCCTTTTACCATTTGTAATTTTGTCATTTAAGAAAAAAAACTCAGAGGCAATCATGTAATTTTTCCCCCCTTTATTTATTATTCCCCAGAGTTTCTCATTGTAATAATCTGCAATTACTACTAAGCCCTATCATTTATATTTCATCTACAACTGCAACTATATTCTTTTAAAATTTTACTTTTATTTTTGATATAGTCCTCAGGCATGTCCACTTATCTCAGTAAATGCCTCATCAGTCTGTTTACCTTTCTGCTTCCAGTATTCTTAATAAATCCCTAATTTATTTATATAAAATCCATGATTGACACTTCATCTTTTTAATACGATTTTTTGTTTTCTTTCCTGTATTTTTTTTTATCATGACATAAAAACCCAATATAATTTCACTGCATTCATAGTCTTATGACATATCTTTCAGTAAAAATATACACTGTATATGCTAAAATACATACATATACGTGTACATATGTACATTTTATATGACAAAGACACAGTAATAATCACTATTTCTTAAATTTGTCATAGTACATTAGTTCTCTTTCATTTTACTCATGCTATTCATTATTCTCTTACATCTTACATGGACAGAATTTCCAAAAAAAAATATTTAAGATACATATAAAATTTGTATCTTATCAAATTCTTACTGAATATTCTAAGTTAAGTTTGTTGCTTTCAAAAAGCTATTTTAGCTAGTATAGCTGTTTTAGCTCTGTAACATAATTTTTCAATTACTTATATGTTCCTTTCCTCCCTTCTTTAGCCTAATAGGATATTTTTAAGAAAAAATATAAATTTTATTTTTCAATATGAACTCCATCAAGCTCAAGATACTTTTGTAAAGAATGACACCAGCTATTTAACTCATTTGTAAAAATCTGTGGGTATTAAGAATTAACCATGCCAATGAAGATACACTATTAACTGAAAACAAATATTCACCCTATAAAATTTTTTTAGAGGTTAGGATAGAAAATAAAATCAGAAGCCAATTCAGGATGTAAGGTGGATTCTTAATGATATTTCATGAAAGCTCTCAGAAAATTGTTTTTGATCAATGGAGGAATGGAGATGAAACATTGTGGTGATGGGAAGGATTCTCTGGTGAAGCTTTCTTGGTTTTTTTGCTGCTAAAATTTTAGCTAATTTTTGAGACCCTTCCACAATAAGCAATAGAGACTTCCCTCATTCCTTTCTCTTAATTAAAGCTATTGTTTTGCTTACTCATGGTTGGTGAATTCATTCTTCAATTTTCTAGATCAAGGACCTGGCACAGAAATTTCCATAATAAAATGATCTAGCAAGCTCACTACTGAGTATATATCCAAAGCAACAGCAATCAGCATGTCAAATAATTATCTGTATTACCATATGTCCTTAAGCTTTATTTATAATAGCCAGGATAGGGGATCAACCTACGTGTTCATTAACATGTGAATGAAAAAGTCTCAGGAAAGAAATAGAAATTCTCAACAAAGAAATAGACAATATGAAGAAAGTAAAATTGAAAATATACAATACAACAGTTATACAAGTTTATAGTTATATTAAAAAATGGGTTATGAGCTTAATGGAAGGGTGGAGGAATAGAGAAAAAAAAAAAAAAACTCAGTCTACCAGAAGGTGGAACAATAGAAATTACTACATCTGAATCATAGAGAATAAATAGACTTATAAATAACAAACAGAATTCAAGAACGTGTGGTATTATAAATATTGTAATACAAGGTTTACATTTGTATAACTGGGATTATGGAGGGAGATAAAAAAGAAGTCTGAAAAAATATTCTAATAATAGCAGAAAACTTCCCAAGTTAATAAAGTCTAAGTCTGCAGAATCAAAAAGGTGGGCAAAAAACATATATGGACAAATTCAATGGAATATGCACAAAGAAACATTATAGTGAAACTTCTGAAGACCAAGAACAAGGTAAAAAAAATTGAAAAAAGTTACAGAAGCAATAACATACTTATTGGGAAACCATTGTAAATCCAGAATCCCAGAACCCTATATCAAGCAGAAATATCCTTCATGAATAAAATAAAAATCCACACGGTTTCAAATAAAAGAAAAATAAAAAAAACACATTTTTCCACTTTATTTATTCCAAAAGAATAGCTAGTGCTCACTTCAGCAGCACAAATACTAAAATTGGAACAGTACAGAAAACATAAGTATGTCCCCTGTGAAAGCATGACAACCAAATATGTGAAATGTTCCATAATTTTTTCTTCTTAGTAAAGTATCTCAAGAATGGGGGAAAAAGTATCCAATATACTCAATACTAATACGAAACTAATATATAAACAACTACATGCTGACAGGAAAGAAAAATCTCAAGTATAGTCTAATAAGGAGGAGGGGCGTGGAGGTAGAGGAAAGGAGAAAGAAGGGAGGGCAATTGGCAGGCCCTCACTTAATGTGCAAAATATGAGGGTGTTCAGCTCATTCTGTGGGTGAAGGGTTCAACTACAACTTGAACATTATCTTAACAATAAAAACAATGTAACCTAAACATTTGTACCCTCATATTATTCTGAAATAAAAAAAGAATAGCTACAGGAGGCTCTGCGCCTGTGGCTCAAGCGGCTAAGGCACCAGCCACGTACACCTGATCTGGCAGGTTCGGATCTAGCCCAGGCCTGCCGAAAAACAATGATGGCTACAACCAAAAAAATAGCTGGGTGTTGTGGCGGGCACCTGTAATCCCAGCTACTTGGGAGGTGGAGGCAGGAGACTCGCTTGAGCCCAGGAGTTGGAGGTTGCTGTGAGCTGTGATG